TGTGTGTGTGTGTGTGTGTGTGTGTGTGTGTCCTTTTGATTAACATACAAGAAGTAATGAAGTGGAAAATTTAAACCAACTGAAATGAAAAACAACAATAATATACAAAGAAAGGAAGAAAAACTGAGCTCAGAGGCATAAAATTTCTATGGTCAACAATATCCCCTTTGGTGTTCATAAGTATGCTGTAAGTGCAAAGGTTACTTAGCTCAGAAAAAAAATAAAAATAAACAAATAAAAATAAGTAAATAAAAAAAAAAAAAAGGCATGGGCCAAGCAAGCTCAACTATTCTGGGGGGGGGGGGGAAGAAAAATCCTTCTGCTTTATATATATGAATATATATAATTTTTCTTCAGTACCAGCACCTGTGACTCACATGTTACTTACCCACACTGAAAATGTTTTGAGTATCCCTGGCATTGACGGTCCACCAAAATTAAACGCCCCTGCGGATATGAATATTACCTGACAACTAAGCCCCTTTACAGTCCCAACCACTTTGAAGGTAGCAGGTAGCTTTGGGTGAGGAGAACAGGGCAACCGAGCACTCCTTGCAAAATGTTTGGCACTGAATATTTGCACCTTTACTTTTCAACATCAGCAAAAGGAGAGAAAATGACTACATTGAATTAATATTTGAAATAAGTGTGTTTTAAATAATGCCTGCTTACTATTAGAGTAAAGTCTGATTTGATCTCTTTTGAACATATCCATAAACAAATTGTATGGTGCAGTAACTCCAGGCAAACATTTTGCTGCTCTTGGTTGCTCCAGAATTGTAGAGGAACAATATCTCTACTTCCAAACTTTATCTTATGCATGTCTACCAAAACAAACAAAAAGATAATAAAAAATAAAAAATACAAGTATATCTCTTAATGCATAGAGCAAACAAATGTCTGATATCACTTCACCAACTCTTAAATAAAATCAAAACTTCTATTTACTAGAATGTCAATGCCAAATTGTTCAAGTTCCCTATTTGATACAAATTAGAAGCAATATTAGACATGAGATAAAATTTTGGTGTAAGAGGAAAAGAAGGAATGAATTCTAAGTAACCCTATTAAATCATTACTAAAGAGACTTAAAAATAGCAAGGCAATTACCTGCATTGAATGAAGGTGGGTTGGCACTGCCAAACTGGAACACTGGCCCTCCTGGAGGAGCTGTCCCTCCTGCTGCAGGCGTGGCACCAAATGATGGGGGACTAGCTGCTGTCTGACCAAACTGGAATGGCGTGCTTTTGGCATTTGGTGTAGAGCTACTCCCAAAGGCTGGGGAGTTAAAGGAAGGAGTTTGTGAAGCCTGGAAGGCAAAGCTTGGAGCTGGAGTGGCAGCCGGAGCTGCTGCTGGTGCTGGGTTATTTGTGCCTCCAAAAGGCGAAGTTGCTCCCTGTGCTGTTTCAAAGGGGTTTGCTGGGGTACTTGCCTTGCCGCCCCCTTGAGCTCCTCCAAAGCCAAAGCCTGTAGATGAGCCAAATAGAGATGTTGCACTTGTGGCTGTGCTACCAAAGCTGGGTGCTGGTGCTCCAAAGCTGGGGCAGTTGTTGCTGGTGCTCCAAATGCAGGAGGATTGGCAGTTGATCCAAAGGCCGGAGTACTTGTAGTTGAGCCAAAAGCTGGGGTGCTTGTTGCAGGTGCCCCAAATGCCGGTGGACTTGTTGCAGTTCCAAATGAAGGAGTGCTTGCTTGACTGCTTGTTGCACCATATGCTGGAGGTGCTGTTGTTGGTACACCAAATGAAGGGGTGGTTTTTGGTGTACAAATGCTGGCGTACTTGCAGTTGAACCAAAGGCTGGTGGATTTGTTGTTGGTGCTCCAAAACCTTGAGTATTTGTTGGCAGAGCACCAAAGCCCTGTCCTGTAGTAGAACCAAAGGGTGGAGCTGGGGCTGCAGCTGAAGATGGGACTGAAGCTTGGCCAGTAGCAGCACTTGAACCAAAGCTAAATGGTGACTGTGTCTGGCTTGTTGGTGCACCGAAACTAGGAGGCTTACTAGCAGCACTACCAAATGAAAATGGACTGCTTGATGTTGTAGCAACTGGAGCAGGTTTATCTGTAGATCCAAACTGAAAAGCAGAAGAAGCCTGTGATACTGCTGGAGATCCAAAGTTGAAGGTTGCCGGTGTTGATGTTGATGTGGGTGCAGCTGTAGCTCCTGCAGAAGATCCAAAGTTGAATCCAGCTGATGATGTAGCTGTGGTAGTAGCAGCTGCTGGAGTAGAACCAAAAGTGAATGCTCCACTTGGTGTAGTTTGTTTGGCTGTATCAACACTGGCACCAAAAGAGGGAGGATTATTTGCTTTCGTTGTTCCAAAACTGAAATGGAGAACTAGATGATGTAGCAGCTGGTGCGGGCTTTGCTGCTGCTGCTGCTCCAAAGCTAAATAAGGAGCTTGAAGATGAAGTACTCTGTGTACTTGGGGTAAATGAAGGTATACTTGCTGCTGTGGTTGTGTGATTTAGGATCTGGAGCTCCAAACTGGAAAGGAGAACCTGTTGCTGCAGCAGGGACAGTTTGTTGGTGGTGCTATACTTGATCCAAAGTTGAAACTTGTGCTAGGTGCAGATGTCTGGGCAGCAGATCCCTGACTGAAAGTAAAGGTAGCTGAAACAGATGAACCTCCTGGAGCAGGAGCTGGGCAGGGGCAGAGGCAGGAGCAGGGGTAGGAGCAGGAGCAGAAGTGTGCAGCAACAGTAGGAGCAGGTGATGTTCCAAAACTGAAACCGGAAGCTGCGGAAGTTGTCTGAGCTCTGAAGTCAGTGTTGAAGTTGCTGGTGCTTTGGCGTCTTGGGATCCAAAAGGGAACCCAAGGCTTGGTGTGGAAGCCTCAGTCTGAGTAGTTTTGGGACCAAAAGTGAATGTAGAGCTCTGACTGGATACTGCATCACTTCCAGCACAAAGGTAAAAGGAGAAGAGGAACTTGCAGGAGGCACTGCAGATGATCCCTGTGATGTTTTTGGATCAGTAGCAGTAAATACTCCTTGACTACTAGTGCCTGTATTTGCAGGAGCAGCTTGACTGCCGAAAGTAAAAGCACCAGGAACTTTGGGTTTTCCTGCTGGTTTTCTGGATTTTTACCATCTGTTGCACTTGCTGTACTAACTGCAGGAGTCGAGGATGACTTGTTAGAACCAGGAATAACAAAACTGAAGGCTGAGGACACAGCTGTACTGGAACTGATCTGAGATGCTGTCTTTGATAAGGTAGTCCCTAAACTAAACATTCCTTGATTGTTTGTTCACTAGCTGCACTAGATGGTGCTGTCAGAGGCGTTATGCCACTTATCTGACTCAAGTCTGAACTAGGTTTCAGGGGTACAAAGGCAGACTCACTTGAGGTTGCACCGGCTAAGAGTGGATTTTTTGCTACTATAGATGATGTTACAGCAGTGGATGTGTGTCTGCTGGCTGAGTAACAGCAGCGGAAGATGTGTTGTGGAGACAGATGGTGTGCTAAGGCTTGTAACATCACTACTGGCTGGGAGAGGAAGCTTCAAGACAGCTGTAACAGACACATTACTGCCACCCTCATCCCCAGCTGATTCGGTTGTCTTTACTGTATCAGTTTCTTTATTTGCTACAGAGGTAGATGGTGGTTTGAGAGAGAATGTGAAAGTTGTAGTCACTTCATTCTCTGTCTGTCTCAGCTGTTGTAGTTGTACTACTTGACACACTTGTTGATGCATTGTCTGGAGCAATGGTCTTCAATACAGAACTCACTGTGGTTGAAGTTCCTACAGTGTCTATGGATGTTGCTGCTGGGGTGGATGATGTGGTTGGTGTTGGCTGAGGTACACTTCCAGACTTTGATGACTGACTCTCTTCATTTTCTGTGAATGAGAAAAGTATAATAATTCTTCAACTTAGCACTTTTTTCTGACTGTTCTCATAGTATACACCTATCAGAGGTAAAGGTGGGATTCTGGTCAACCTGAATGCTATAACATTTTTTAATAGGGGGTCTGTGTAACACGATTTTTCTTACTTATTTATTTATTTTCTTATTTTTTTATTATTATTATTTTTTTAAGCTAGTGGTACAAATAAGGAAAGAGAGAACAGCACTTACCATCAACATGGAAAAGCATACCCAACATCTTTTTGAGTCTCTGCTGACTCTTGGCCTTCTCTGCTTTGTAAGCTTCCAAGGATATGACGTGAGTGGGTCTTGGCGGAGTGGGGTTTCTAGGGGTGGAGGTCCGGGAGGTGTTTGCTGTCCCCCCTGTTCCATTGCAGCTCTCTCCACGTGTGCTTTGGGGTGTATGTGAGCCTGAGCGGTCAGATGGGTCACGTTCTGAGGGTCCTGGACTGATCATGCAAGTCTCCACCGGTGGCCTCACTTGTCTGGAATTCATGAAGAGAGTGAAGTATTAACACTACAATCCGGATGACATGACCATCATGTCATGATAAAAATTGAGAGGTGGGTGATGTGAACATGCTATCATGGGAAAATCTGGCTGTGGGCTGGAGTGACATGGACATGGACTTGCCATTGTAAGCATTTGGGGTAAAGGCCAAAGTAATGGGAATGACTCCCCACAAGTGCACAAAATTCTTGGAAAGTTTAGACTCATTTGGCATTTAGGAAGATGCTTTTGCATTATTTCCATTGAGTGTGGAATAAACTGAGCACAAGAAATGACCGGAAAAGCACCAACTCCTGGGTGGATGCCATTTCCATGCTCAGGATCTTATTCCTGGTTGCAAAACAGTGGCACAGGTTGTATTACAAAAAGATTAATATTATGGGAAAAAGACACAAATAATAAACTCTTACTTATTGTTATCATTCTTGCGCTGAGTTATGGACTACCTAAAGAGATGATATGGAGTCTGTGCAAGGAAAACAGTCTATTGCCATCTGGATAAAGCAAATCGAATGACAAATATGGACATTGAAAAATGGCTACAAAGATAAAAACAGTTTAAGCAGAAAAAGAGAAAAGGGAAAGCATAGAGTTTTGCCACTGAACATAAGTGTTTATGTGTGCCCGCCTACAAGCCATGCACCCATCAGAGTGGCCAAAGCCAAAGACCACATTTTGGACCATGTGATGGCAGTGAAGCATCAAGATACAATGCTTTGAGAACAAAATTTACTTTTTAAAACAAATGTTCCCATCTCCTAGATCTAAAGATCTACTCCACCAAAGCTTTTTCCTTTTTCCTTCTTCATGATTTTCCAAAAATATTCAAACAAATGACCTGGTGACCACTTTTTCAATGTCATCACAAGCACTTTTACAATAACACTGATCATCACTGCTCCTGAAAGAAATAACACTATGTAGAGATGTTCTAAAACATCCTGGCAAAAAGATTATCACTACCTGTTGGTGTAGGGATTGTTCAGAAGCTTTGGACTGTCCAGAATCCACACTGCGGTTGCTTTCAGAATCTGTGTCCCGTCTTGAATCATACATAGAGAATGGGGTCTCTCTTCCAC